TCCCTGGAGAAGGATGTCATGCTTGGTAGGATGGAGGGTTGACGAAAGAGGGGGAGGCCTTCAACGAGATGGATTGACACGGTGGCTGCAATGATGGGCTCAAGTATAGCAGGGATTGTGGGGCTGGCGCAGGATCGGGCAGTGTTTCCTTCTGCTGTGCATGGGGTCACTATGAGTCGGAAACGACTCGACGGCACTTAACATTAAACAACATAGCATTTCCATATATGCCTTTTATCAGGTTGAGGAAGTTTCTTCCATTGTATTTTGCTGAGAGTTTTTAAAATTAGTCGGAGCTCTGGTAGCATAGTGCTGAAGGTATTTTGACTGCTAACCAGAAGGCTGGAGGTTCAAACCTACTAGCCACTCCTTGGAAAGAAGATTGGACAATCTACTTCCATAGAGATACCACCTCAGAAACCCAAGGAGGGGTCACTTTGAGTCGGATCTGACTTGTCACATGCTTTTTCTACATTTTCTCATCTATTGAGATGATCATATGCTTTTCCTTGTTTAGTTTGAAAAAAAAAAAAAAACAGTGAATTACATTCGGTTCAAAATACTTCTTAATTTACCTTTTAATTTCTTATTTGACCCATGGGTTGTTTACTCATTCCCAGCAAGTTGATTCTAACTGATGGTGACCCCCATTGGGTTTCCAAGGCTGTAAATCTTTATGGAAAAAGACTGCTTTATCTTTCTTCCACAGAGCAGCTGGTGGGTTAGATGTATGTTATTTAATTTCAGAATATTTGAGGATTTTTCACCGAGGGAAATACTGCACGGTTTTGACATCCAAAATGTTACCTGGTTTTTATATTTGGGATTTAAAATAAATTAGAGAAATGGCATTAAAAGCATTAAATGGCATTGAAAGTATTAGTTCTAGACCTCAACTATAAAACTATACAGTGGAGCATTATTGCTCAATGAAATGCAGTAACTGTTTGAAAAATATGCTTGAGTTGAGTTAGGCATATGTTAGTTATCTTCAGCTTTAAACATTAAGAGTGAGTTTATAATTTCACCTTATTATTTACAAATTATACGAGAATGTTTACCTTAACCAATAACCTGAATGATGAAGTTTCAGGAGGTTTTATTGATGTAAGATCAAACTTTTCAATGGCATTGCCTTTCAGAATATTGTGATTGTAGACTGCTTTACTGCAAGGAATGGGGAGTTAATTAGACCACAGCAAAAGCATTACACTTAGTTTTGGTTACCACTTTTTAAGAGTGGCTTTGACAAACTGTACAGCCTCCAAAGAAAGCAGCAGGTTTTCAGACTTTGTGGACCTCTTGAGACTGAGGAAACCCCAAATGTGTTATCCTGAAATAATCCTTAAACCTTGAACCAAAACTGTCTCGTGAAGTCATCTGTAAACATGTCAACAATTTAGCTCAATTAATAAAGAATGTCGACCTTGAGCATTTTGCTCTTTTAAAGAATTGTCTATATGTGATCAAATTGACAGTAGTAACTCTAAAGCACAGTGAGAACTTTAAGAGTTATAAAAAGTAAAATTTCATGGTGATGAAACAATGTGTGTAGAGATAATGAGAATGGTGATGCAATATGAAAACCTGTGCATGGCATTGACCTGTACATATAGAAATTATTGAATGGGTATTTATTTTATTATGTATATTTTCACCAAAAATAAAAATAAATAAAGAGATAGAGCATTTTGGTGTATTTTCTGAATCAACAAAGAATACCATGCATTGGTGGGAATATACGTTTTGGATTTTTTTGATGAAGAATAATAGAACAATTAGTTTGAAGTCTGGGGGGAAAAGAAAAGAAAGGAAACACCAGATTTTATGGGGTTGTGAAAACTTGATTATATTGTTGAAGAAACTGGGGCTTTGAAGTTCACAATATCCTTGTAGAGCATTATCTGCATTTTACTAAAGAAAGTCAAGGCTTAGGTAGAATAAATGATTTATTAAAGTGTAACCAACAAGTGATTTGCTTAAGGTTCACATTTGATTCTTAATGCAGGATCTTTTTGTTTCAAAATACTGGTTTTAATCATGTTGCTTTAAAGCCCAAGTTTGAAGTTACAAGGGAATGATTTCATATTAAATGAAATGAGAGAAAACATTCAAAGTAGGAAGGTCACTGTGAGAAAATAATTTGGTTATCAGTATTGTAAGTGTATCAGATTACAAAAATGTGTTACCTTATGTGTATTTCTCTCTTCATGTTTTCAAGGTTTTTGATTCCAATGAAGAATCTGGATTTCTTGTTCTCACCATAGTTGTCTCAGGTCATTTGTTCATTTCTCAAGGACAGACACTACTGGTAGGTTTTATGTTTGTTGTTTAATACACAAATATATTTATTTCTTTTTATTTATTTTTTTTTATTAGGATTTGGGTGAAGATTTACAGAGTAAATTCACTTTTCATACAGCAGTTCACATATACTTTGTCTCATGTCATTGACCAAAATTTA